GCTAGCAGAGCAAGCGCCTGAGATGGTGGAGGGCATTTATGGCAGAGCCTTACAGGCACTGCAGCACGCTCTGGCACTGGCGGGGTGGGTGCAGGAGCATCACCCAAGCAGCTGCTCAGTTGTTGTGCTCTGCATCTGCGACGGAGAGCGACTCACACGTTGAGCATCTAGCACCCTCCCGGGTGCTTATAGGCGGCGGGCTGAGCCAGTATCTTACACGCTGCTCCACTGGGACATTGCTCTGTGCCTGCAGTCATGCCTGGGCCGCCATGCAGCTGGCTCACCACCAGAAAAATGTGGAGCTGGCGCAGGCGGGGGACGATCAGCTTGGCCGGCAGTCACTCGGCGCAGACGACACAAGCAGCAGCCTGATCGCGGACGCGCGAGCGCAGGTATGCGGGGCATGCTATTAGCGATACGCAGGGTACATCGCCCTTGTGATAGTTCGCCTGGCAATGGCTGCATGCTGCCCCCACAACTGCCACTGCTGTTCCACTTTTTGCTCAACTGCCTGCAAGCGCCGACGCCCCGTTGCGTGCAGTTAAGGACGTTCCGTAGCTTGCAATTGGACGCCGCTGCGTCATGTGACAGGCTGGTGTCTAGTACCATGCGCCTGGCAGGTGAGGGAGTGAATGAGTCGTCGTACCGCCTCCCATTTCAGAGGGGTCTGTTCGTCTCGGGTGGAATCCTGTTGCAGTGTGCCTGGCTTCCACCCCTGTCTTGCTGCTGCCACTCCAAATCCCCCGCCTCCTCCTATTCATCTACCCGGGCGTGCCATCTTCATGTGTTGTGCAGAACATGAGGGTGAAAGCTACCTGGCAGTGACAGTGGAGGGGATCCAGTCACCTGTGCAGTACTTCCTGGGTCTGCAGACGCAGCAGCTGCAGGTAGGGTTTTCTTTCTGTCAGATGGCTGGAGCACACAGCTTCTTGGCTTAAGGGTTAGCATGAGCCTGAGTGTGCTGCCACCGCATTCCCCACTCCCTGCCGAGCAGCTATGCACCCTTTGTTGCTGCTGACTGTTGCCTGCGGTGATGGCACTGCTGCAGGCAAGGGGTGAAGGCATTGATGCAGAGGCTTTGCAGCCTGCGGCAGCCCAGGCGCAACTGGCTCTATCGAGGCTGACTGTGAAAATGAGTGACATGGTTGTGAGTCACCCCGGCGGGGGGGGTCCATGCCACCTTGTGCCTGCTGCATGTTGCCACCGATTCGGAGCTTGCTTCTGACTGCAAACACTCCTCTGATCTGGCCTGCTGCTGCATCGGTTGCGAGTTGGTTTCCGCTGCCTGCCTGGCTGCCCCCGCCTGCTCTGTCCTGTGTGCAGCGTGATGCTGTCGGCATGCTGGCACAGCTGGATGGCCTGCTAGACTGCTGCCACCTTCGCACCCAACTGCTGCTCAGGTAGTACCAACTGCAGTGCCCTTGCCCATGCTTGCTGTGCTGTGCATCTGCTGTCCCCGCCCCCAATCTAAATAACACAAGCATCACCTTCTCTGCTCATCACCCCCTGCACAGCACGTTGCAATCCCGTTGCTGCGTGCACCCAGCTAGCGAGCTGATGGGCTTGGCACTGCGGCATGTGTTGCCACTGAAGTGGCAGCAAGAGTGGCAGGCCACCGCAGGTGCGCCGTACCTTGCATGGACAGCATTCTGGGGCGAGTTACCACGCGGCTGTTGTGATGCCGCGTGCCACCCGCCGAACCTTACTGTGCGCTGCCGTTCTACCTTAACTCGCTGGCATGCTGCTTGCCTACCTGCCTTTTCAGATAGCAACAGCGAGCAGCTCCTTTCAGAGCTGCTGAAGGAGGAGGAGCGTGAGCACGAGAAGGTGCAGCGGCGGCAGCAGAAGGCGGCCAAGAAGAAGGCATCTAAGAAAGGCGGTGCAGGCAGCAGAGGTGCAGCAACCGCCTCCGCCATCTCTTCATCATATTTGGAGGGGGCGGCCAGCCACAGCAGCGTCAACGCTGCAGCTGCCCTCAGCTCCAGTGCCAGTCCCACTGGCGCAGCTGCAGAGGATCAGCTGCCGGACAGCTGGGAGCAGCTGCCCGAGCCTGCAGCAGCTGCAGCGGTGGCCATGCGGGAGGCCGGCAGCAGTGTTGATGTGCCGCCTGGTTACCTGCGCATGCTTCAGGAGTATGAGGTAATGGAGGAGCAGCGATTGAGGGAACAGGCGGAGCAGCAGCAACACGAGCAGGAGCACCGCCGGCAGGAGCAGAAGGCGCAGCGGCAAAAGGAGCAGGAGCGGCGCCGGCAAGAGCAGTGGGAGCAGCAGCAGGGTGCGGCTGCAGCGGCAGGAGCGCAAGCTACGGGAAATGCGCCGATGCAGCCCAGCAAGAGAAAGAAGAATGGGAGGAAGGGGAAGAACAAGGAAGGCGCGGCAGCAAACACGGCATCCGAGGAGCCAGGCGGGAAACATGCTATTGGCCTGGCCCCCTCCGGGACAGCGCCAGCGGAGGATGATACCGTTGGGTGGCAAGCGGTTGGGAATAGGAAGGGTCCTGTGCGGCGCCTTCAGCAGGCAGGGCCGGCACTGCAGGCGTTGCCTCAGCCGCCATCTGGCAGGAGCAGGCGGCAAGAGCAGGCGGACGCTGAGCAGCGGCCGGGCGCAGCACAGGATCAGCCACACCATCCACAGAGCAAGGTACATCAGCGGCCACAGACGCAGCAGGGCCATCAACTGCTGGCTGAGGCTGCTCCCTTTGTTCCAGCGGCTGTGTTGACTGTGCCGCGTCAGCAACGCCAGCAGCAGCACCAGCACGAGCAGGATGAGCACCCTCTGCGGCTGCCTGATGAGCTTGACCTCACCGAGCCGCTGCAGAGTGTGAGCGCGAATGCCCCACCCTTGTCACCTTCCTCCTCTTTCTCCTCCATCAGCCAGCCCCGGCAGCAGCTGTCTCAGCAACAGGCACCAGCGCCAGCACAAACACTGCGGCCGGCATCCTCTGAGGCATTCGAGGACAAGCTGATGTATCAGATGCTGGGCATTGGCAGCACTGGAACGGCAGCTGAAGGGAGTGGAAGAGGGCTGCTAGCCCAGGAGCAGCAGTCGGCGACCTTGGCCCCCCAAGCCGGGCCGCCCATGCATCATAGCGATGCCCCGGGAATGCCAGCTGCAACCTTGGCAATGCCCATGCTGCCCCATCATCTGCATCGGGCTGCACTGGGCGAGGGTGCGGCAGCTGTATTGCACCATGATGGCCCCGCTGCGCAGCTTAGTCAGCAGCTCGGTCTGAGCGGCAGGGCGTCATCCCTGTTCTCAGAGCCGCCAACTGCCAGAATGCCGATACAGTGGCTGCCGCAGCACGAGCGGCAGCGCTTGCTGGCTACGCCCGCCACCAGGCTGCTCCACTGCCCCTGCCGCTGGAAGCGCAGCTGCACCCCCAGCCCATGTCGCTGTTCGCGCTGGCACCCACGGATCACGTAGTCACCGCGGCTGTGTCGGGGCTAGCGGCAGCGTCAGGCAGCCAAGAGGAGGAGGTTGCTTCATTCCTCCAGGTGCTAACCACAGGAGTGCAACACGCTGTGACACTGCCAGTTTTTGTGTGCCTCCAGCCCTTGGTGCTCACTGTTTTCAAGCAGCGCAAATGTTCCTACTGCTGCTTGATGCATTACGCCGCCCCTTTCGTTTTCATCAGTAAAGCGCACCTTCTAGAACCCTGCTACTGCAGCTGATGGGATTGGCGTCCCCAGACAGCAATGCGGCAGCTCCCGCTGTAGACGCATGGACAGCAGCTTCCCCACCACCGCCGCATATAGGCTACGTAGTTGGCCCAGCAACCACCCAGCAAGGCTGCAATAAGCTTGCTGCAGCACAGGAGCAGCAAGTGGTGCAGCCGCAGCAGCAGTTGAATGCGCAGGTTGGAGTACCAGAAGCGGCAAAAGACCTGGCACTGACTGGGCTGCGCAATGAGGCTGGTGAATACAACTGTTTCCTCAACGTCATCATTCAGTGCCTCTGGCGCTGCACCGAGTTCAGGCAGCAGGTGCGTTTCTGCAACAGACAGGAGGGAGAGCATGGTGAGAGTCACCATGCCTATGTAGCGCTTGTCCAGCCGCTGCCTGCCTTTTTGCAAGTGCCCGAGGGAGTTGCATGCTGTGCCCTCCCCTCCCCCCGTCTGCTCACAGGTGCTGGCTTGGGGCAAGGATGCTATTGTCAAGAACTCGGTGGCTCGCTCTCTGCACAACCTCTTTCTGGCTCTCCACCAGGTACAGCAACATCAGCAGGGCGCCGCGGCAGGCAGCGCCCCTGTGGTCGTCGATCCCACTGAGCTGCGTGCGGCACTGGCGGCGCTGCCCAACCAGCTCTTCCAGTTGGGTGAGTGAGTGGGGTGTGAGTTTGTAAGTGGGTAATCCTTCTTCAGCTCATTTGTGCAGCGTGACCATGCTCGCGGAAACTTTTCAGTGACACACACATCTGGCGTGTGTTCTTTGGCAGGCGAGATGAGCGACGCAAACGAGACGCTGCTGACGATGTTTGAGCAGATTCGGGAGGCTTCAGAGGGTGTTGCTGCCATCCTGGATGTGATCTTTGGGCTCAAGGTGCAGGAGGCGGTGATCTGCCCGGCCTGCAGCAAAGTCACGCACCAACACCGGTACATGCAGTACTTTTACAACACACGGGTAGGCAAGGCAGCAACAATCACAACTGGAATGTGTTCTGTGGCCTCAAACTGTTGTTCGCAATACACAATGTGGTGGTGCCTGGCCCCGATGCTTTGCCGCTCCGGGGTTGCTGGCGCAGGCCACCGCGCTGCGGCGCGTGGTGGTACAGGCGTTGGAGGAGCGCAAGCGGGGCGTCATTGGACCCAAGACGCTGGGCACACGGCTGCGCCGCATCGAGGAGCAAGCGCACAAGAGCTGCGACACAGACCACGGTGAGGATCTGTGCCTGTGTCATAGCGGACCACAGCAAACCATTCATGCTCTTTCCTGCCTTGCTCCGGTGCTGCAACTGGCTCGGCAGAGCTGAAGCTGCGCTTTCAATTTCTTTCGCCCACTGTAGGCGGCTGCAACAAGTCGTGCCCTGTCACCACACAGCTAGAGCAGGCGCCGCGCGTGTTCAGCCTACAGATCGCCTGGCTGAGCAATCAGGAGGCGCCGCAGGACATTGGCTGCACATTGGCGGCGCTGGACGAAACGGTGGACCTCAGCGAGGTGGGACCTGGCATCCGGCGGGCAGCCAGGGCTGCAAGTAGGCTCAGAGTGAAGCAGAGGCTGTGCCCACATGCACCTGTGCGGGGTTTCTTGCTGAGCGCTCCCGATACCTGCAGGTGTACCAGGGCGTGCAGCCAGCGCTGCACCGCTACCGCCTTCGCAGCATGGTGTGCTACTACGGCCAGCACTACCAGGCGATGGTGCTGGTGCCCGACGCTGGCGGCTGGCTCATGTTTGACGACTCGCGGGTCAGCGGCGTGGGCGGCTGGGCTGACGTGCGACGCAAGTGTGAGGCGGGGCACATCCAGCCCAGCGTGCTCTTCTACGAGGCGGTGCAGGGCTGAGGCTGCAGCGCCCTTACATCGTCGTCACCTTAGCTTTTTTGCTCCTTTCTCGCTGCTTCTTCTCCTCTGCGCATCTCTCTTCTCTTGTTTTAAACACCACGTTTCAAACATCACGTTGCTGCTAGCACGCGTGCACAGAAGATAGCAGGCTGCGGATGCATCCGGCCGAAGGCGGCGCAGCCAGGGCACCACTACAGGGCAGAGCAGCTGCGCCGCCAGCGGCGACATGGGCGGGCCGCCCGGGAGCAGCGCCGCCCTGCCGCGGCGGCGCTCTGCGCTGCAGGTGGGAGGGGGGGGAAACAACGAGGCAGGGTAGGGAAAGGGATCCGGAAACCGCACAAAGTGTGGCCCGGTGCGACGGCATCAAGCTGCCGCCGACATGGAGAGACCTCCAGCTGCAGCCCCAGAAAACAGCAGTGACAGCAGCTGTAACATTTAGCGGCTACAATGATTCAGGAGGTGCCTCTGCAGCTGCAATCTGCTTTCGAATCTTCTCAATTGATGCGATTGCTTTGTCCTCCTCCTCGTCGATGCTCCCTGTGCACCTGCCAGTCAGCCAGCCAGTCGGCCAGTGAGCTAGTCAGCAGCCAGCCATGGTATGTGAAAGGACATGCAACAGGGTTGGGGTCCCTGACCTCACCTGTCCTCCCGCCTCATGAAGAACGTGCGATTGGCTTCATTTTCAGGAGTGCTTTCAATCTGCCCCAGAGCAATCTTCTCCACCGCTTTTGCTAGGGTGTGAAAATGCAGCCGCACGTCTTGATCCCGGTGATGAGCAATGTACCCTCCTGCAGTTGATGAAGTGGACACCGTATTCTAGTCAGGGTGGTAGGTGATGAATGATGGAGGGTGGCGTCAGGTGCTGTTTTGAACAGCACCAAGTTGCGGCAGCATGGACTTGCCTATGCCCTTCCTCTCAAACTCCCCTGGCATGAGGTGATCCTTGTCTGCAACGAGCCTGCAAACGCCAACTGGTGGAGCATTTGCGGTCAGAGGTCAACAACATTGGCTGGAGCACAACCTTCGCGGGTGCTGTCGGTCATGCTCGCTCCAGCTGCCCTGCCCGACTTGCAAGTGCGGCACACCTGAAGTAGCCGGTGTGCATGGACTGGTCACGAGCAATCCAATCCCTGCGCAGTGAGGATTGATGGGGCAGCACGGCATGAGGCATGACTGTCGCATGCTGGCTAAACCAGCCCACGCAACTCACTTAAAGTAAACATCGGCGTAGGGTTCCGAGATGCAGGGCCTCAGCATGTTCCAGGGCAAAATCTCCACCAGCGCAGAGCCGTTGCGCATGAAAAATGCATAAACATTGCCGCTGCCGTGAGTATTTACCTGCGCGCAGGGTACGCCATGTGTGGACAAAGGACACGGCGAGAGAACGTGTTTATCCACCAACTCCTGGCATCCTGAACAAAATGGCAACGGCGCACCACTTGCTGCCTGCCCCACCCAGCCAGCTCACCAAGACATGCACGTGTTGCAGACGCGCCAGCAGATCGGCAAAGTTGTTCGGGGTGCCATCTGGCAGCAAGACACAGTCCACCTCCCTGTGGGCACCAAGGCAGCGGTGAGAGGCCGGGGCATGCCTCCTTGGGCCCTCAAACAGGCTTGTGCCCCCCTGTTGCAAAGAGCCCCCAGCATGCCAGCAGAGTGCCACCAGGCAGGCGGAGGTGCACGGCAACCTACTCACCTGAAGGGGCTGTCCAGGGGCGGCTTCCACCCGCGACACTCCTGCAGTGCAGGGACGGTGAAGGGTCGGGGATGGCACAGGCAGAGGAACAAAGGCAGCTGCAGGGCAAGCAAACCCGCCTCCCTTGCAGCTTGCCTCCACCACTTCGTGCAAGTTGATGATGCTGCGCAGCTTAAGACGGGGCATGAATGCCAAGCGGAACGTGGCGCCACCCTCCTTGGCGCCACCCTCCTTGGCGCCCCCTTCTTTCCGACGCTGATAGTGCTCCACAATCTAAGACATTTGCACAGTGACGTGACCAGCATGTTAGTCCAAGGGGCTTGCACAAGTGCAGGGGCATTGGAGCCACGCATGTTGCTCTCATGACACTGCCTGCAAAGCGCGCAGCAGCCCAGCCACCTACCCGCCTGCCGGTTGTTTTAGGGCTGAGGGCTTCAGCCATTGTACGATTTTCGTTTTGGAAGTAGAGATGCACCTGCAGAAGGAATGCCAGCATACAGCACGATGAGCAGCACGTCCCAGCGTGTGCATGGTTATGTGAAGAAGCGGATCACTGGGAGGTTTGCTGCCAGGGTCGCCCTCACATCCTGCCCACGCACCAGGTTGCAAAGGACTGTGCGCTCAAAGCAGCGCGGTTGCCCATCGTGTATATGCTCACGGGAGGACAACTCCGACAGGCTGCGGACCTGCGCTTGTGCCCCGGCCCATGGCAGAGGCTCACTTGCGTTGCAAGCTAACGCACATCCTTTTAGCTGTGCAGTTTGTGAGACACGACGCATGCCGAGGCTGTAAGGCCGCCCAAGCCTTGGCAGGGCTTGGATGCCATCAGCATGGTATCAAACATGTGCATACAGCATAGCACCTCCCTCACCCTGTTCTGTGTTAAAGCATCCAACAGCAACTGGTAGTGGGCAGGCACATCCATGCCCAGTGTCACTGGGGTGAGGGTGATGTTCCTGTGGGCCACGGCAAAGTGGTAGATGGGCGCTGAAACTCAATGGCACACCGTTGCCAACAAGCACGCGCCCCGCACCCGTCAAAAGCGCCCTCAGCCGCCATTGCGTCCAAGGCAAGCACCGCTCCCATGAATGTATCAGCAAACACGGAGAGGAAGGGGACCCAGAACACCAGCGGCGAGGTGCAGCGCTCAAAAACTGCGGGCAGGCAATGGCACGGCGGAGGGTCTGCGAGCGTGCGGGTGTGGCATCCACCGATGCTCGGTCAAAGCCATGGCATCATGCGCCACCCCCCCTGCCTGCCCTTCTCTGACCCGGATGCCAAATGTCGGGCGGGTCGAGGAAGGTGGGACCCCGTATGCTGAGGTCCCAGGTGGGCGGCACGTAATGGGCATCGCCTGCATGGCAGCAGCAGACACACGAAGGAAACCAAGCCGGCGTTTCTCAGCAAGTGGCCCAACATGTGGCGCCAAAGGCCAGCGGCTGGTGGCCCGCACCTAGCGACTCGCTGTAGCCGGGAAGGATGAAAGCGGTGGCACCGGCCTGCTGGAACAGCGGGGCGCCGGTGAAGCGGGAGTGTCCCGGCGTCTTCTCACCGCTGTGCAGCACGATGCTGGCCTGCAGCACACGGCGATGGCGCAGAAGCAGGGGTGAAATAGGGACTGGCGTCCCCTGGGTTTCAGTTGAATTACCTGGTCGAAGCAGGCCTGGCTCAGAACCTTGCATCCCCAGGCTTCCAATAACCCATCATCAAGTCGTGGCGGCGTGCAAGCCTCCCCGCCACCCTCAGGCTGACTCTGCCGGGTGGCAGAAGGAACGTTGCCAGTGCCTGGGATCCCGCCCCCGCCTCGGCCGACGGCCAACCAGCAGCCCAGCGATCCCAGCAGGATCAAGTTGGTCAAGAGGGACAGGAGCAGCTGCAGGCAGCGGTGCGCAGAGCCATGAAGGGGGGTTGAGCAGCGGCAGCAGGGGCGGCAGCGGCGGCGGCGGGCAAGGTGCGACGGGCCGTCCGTGGACGCGCACCAGGGGCTTGCGGCCTGATGCATGCCGACCCGCAATAACCCTCATAATCACCGCAGTGGCATTGAGGTTCAGTCATAAGGGGCCATCGCGCGAGAAGACCCGAGAAAAAGGAGCAGACTTTGTGTACGATAACGTGAATGAGGAAACAGGAGAGGCCCCGAGATGAGTGAGGTTGGCGGGACGCCGCGTCGCGGGTGGCGGGACGCTCACACTCTGGCCGCGGGCGAATCAATCCGGCCCACATCTGCCCACAGACAGTTGAACCAACCTGATATCGCCTATGCCCGCCGCCTGGCCCTTCCTTAACAAAGCATGATGTGAAGCAGGCGGCGGTCTCGCCTTGCCGCCGCTGCCGACCTGCGCCGTGTGCACCGCATTGGCTGAGTCAATGGCCCCGCCACAATATGGTGTCCAATAGTCTCAAACATTTCGTATTCTCAACATCCCGTATTGATATGATCAAACGTCCCGGTTACTTATATGGCTGTAGTGCCAACGCATTGCACGCTTTCGTTTCCCCTCCCCTCTACAGCAGGCTCAGTTTCGAGTGATTTTCACGTTCCAAAGCCCCAGATGGCCCTACTTCCGCCTCCGGCGCCCCTCTTGAGGCATCGGCGGAAGCTGCTCACGGTCGCTTCATCCTTAGCTATAGCACTCGGAGTGCTGGTGCTGGGCCTGCACGGTACGCAGCCTTCAGAAGGGCAGAGGGACGCAGCCTTCATGTGGCGGTCACCATGGTGCCTCCCTGCCTGCTGCAAGTGGCAGGGAGCTGTGGGTGGGTGCCCAGGCCCAACCCACCACGCAATATTTATGTGGTCGCGACGGTGCAGGCGAGAGGGCCCAGGGGCCCACCGCCGCATGTTGCTTCCATGATCCGTCGTGCAGGCCGCCACACACGCTCAGAGCAGCCACACGAGCGGGAGCCTGCCGGATGGGCCGAGAGCTATCTGTTCCAGATGGCCGATGCCAACCTGTCGCAGCTGCTGGACAAGGCCAGCTGGGCGTCGCCATTGCGGCAGTGTGCCGGCGACCTGCTGGCACTCAACTTGACAGCGGCACAGGCACAGCTGGCGCTGGTCGGCACCTCCGGCGATGCCGAGACAGGACAGCATGAGGAGCTTGTGTCTGGCATCGCCCACCGCCTGCCCTGCAAGTCAGTCGGGTGTTGCTGGGACTTGGGTCCAACACAAAGCGGCATTGAAACTAAACCGCAACAAGCTGGCCTTTGTGCAGGCAAGGAGGTGACGAAGGCAAGAGTCACGAGGCGGCGGTGGCAGCTGCAGTCTCTGCAGTCACATCAGCCTCCCGGACTACAGGCGCGGTCA